CAATAGAGCATCTTTGGGATGTGGTGGAACGGGAGCTTAGAATTAAGAATTAAGGAGTTTTCTGTGCATATTCACTCATTATAGAAGTGAAATAGAATTAAGGCAGTTCTGAAGGCGAAAGGGGGTCAAACACCGTATTAGTATGGTGTTCCTAATAATCCTTTAGGCGAGTGTATATATATATATATAAATGAAGAATCATGATGAACTAAATCCCATTTAAATCTTGGGTTCTCTACCACTGAATAAGGTCACATATCCGTGATAAATTAGCAGATGATGTGTTTCCAGCAACATGGCCAAGTTCAGCCTTGGTAGGCTCTCTCTAGAGCTGGTGTCTGTCTGCCCCATGGCATACTGTATGGTTACTGTATGTATGCTGTATTGTATGTATATTACACCGTTTCATTTGTGCATATGTAAATTTGTATACTTTTGTATAGTTGTTTTATTTATTTATTTATATCCTTTATTTAACCAGGAGAAGCCCATTGAGATTAAAAATCTCTTTTGCAAGGGAGACCTGGCCAAGATAGGCAGCTAAGTTACATCACAACAGTATGCCAGTACATACATACAAAACAAAATAAAAACAAATAAATAAAAAAACAATGAAACTCTTTACAATGAAATCTCAGTTAAAACATTGACATGTGAGGGAATCCAACTTAAAACATCTCATTTTTGACTTAAAAACACTCAAAGGAATCAATTTACTAAGTTTTAAGTTGTTCTGCAGCAAATTCCATGTAAAGGGTGCAGAATAAACAAAGTAAATGTTTTATGTAAAGTCTTTATGTGCAGTACACTGTTATACAGTTGTTTTATGTAGTTTGCTTTATTTAATGTACTGCACTGCCAATAGGAACGTCTGACCCAAGACTTTCACCCATTAGTTCACCCGTTCTAGATGTGACAATAAAAGTGATTTGATTTATTAGGAAACCAAAATGTTCCCAAACCATCGATTACTACTGACTGTACTACTAATGACTGTATTACTATTGCTTACCATTTCTAGTCTTAGTTTTGCACTGACCTACATGGCTTTGCACAATGTCTTATGTTATTATTTTTTTTCAATTTCATTTTTTACATTTTATATTTACTCTCGTTTTTGCACTCATAATATTTTGTTACATCCTAATTCAGGGTGACCCTGAGCTCCGCAATTTTCTCTCTCTGTATACTTGTATATGGCTGAGATGACAATAAAGTTTACTTTGATTTTTGACTTTGACTGTAACCTGCATTAGCCGTAACCAACTCACAGCCACAATTAGAATTAGAATGCTGAACACCTACTTGTGAATTTAAGTTCTGCCCATGCCAAAAACTGTATTAGTTTCACTGTGCATAAGAGCCAAATGTAATGTACCGAATGGACAAATATGTGTACCATATGTGTCCTATAACCTACCGACATGTAGATGTGCATGGCCATAGAGGCTGACCATCACCGTGGCAGGTAATGTGTGAAGCAGGATTTGGACCAGATGCGATAATGATGTGAAACGTTGTACAATTATCTGGCACTACTGTACATATTTTTGGCCCCATAAAAGCACATCATATTGGGCCCCCAACTAAGATCAATTTAATTATATTCCAATTATTTTTTAGGGTCCTTGTCACCCTGTCCCTTGCCTTCCCGTAAATGAACATCATTAACCATAGTATAAAAGAAATTAATATATATGTGAACAAGATTGTGGAATACTATAAATTTAGTCTCCCCTTGCCTGATCTTGATACCTTTTGAGAGGAATAATGCCAATCATTTCCATTTTTCAGGCAACTCAAACACTTTAAATATTGCGTGTAAAATAATGATTAATTGTGGTTCGTGACCCGTGTTGTAGACTTCATGTGACTTTCTTGCCAAAGGGTATTAATGTAAAATATCCACAGACTAAGAATCACTTCTGAGTGGTCTAGTGGTTTCCCAAAACATTGGCCTTCTGCTGAAGGATCAGGAATATATATAAATGAGTAGCTATAAAGACACTTACAAAATCTCATTCCACTTCCTCATTAAAACTTTCACCTTTTTTTTATCCCATCCAGAGCGTCCACCTACCCTTGACCATATGCTACATAGGAATTGGATAGAATGAGAATTCTTTTATTTGGCAAGTATGAAAATACAAGGAATTTGTTTTGGTGGATTTGTTTAGTCTATGAGCCCCTGTTATTTGCATTTTAACACTGTATTTCCTAAAACCACAAAGACCTCAGAAACTCATGTAATTCCCATCGCTGGACCGATAAACTTCTGGTGCCAACCGGAAGAAGTAACCATCTTTGACAGGAAGTGCCTTAAAAACCGCTACATCTTCGAGAAGCTTCCGCTTGCACAGGCGGCGGAATAGCGGTAGGAGATACGTGGTTCCTGGTCTCCGTAAGTGTTTCAGGGTTTCACGCCGGTGACACCATTAATCGACCCCTGAGAAATCTGCGACTAGCGATTTATTGTTAATTTTGTCATGATATTAGCTTTTAGTAAGTATGGTTACCTTAGTTGGCTTCCTGTTAGGAGACATGAGTTGGGATAAGTACGGGCGACGTGGCGAAAACCTTTTTGATTCATTGGCTTTTAGTTAATTCCGCCGAGACCACAATGAAAGCGCTTACTTCCTATAGATTTGTTGGTTGTCGGTGTGATTATATCCAACGTAAAGCGTCCATTAGCTGCTTGTCTAAGGCAGGGCGGTCCGCCAGTGAATGGCCTCGTCTAGAAACACACTCCCTCAACGACATACCAGCGAAAACTCTGACATAGAGATGTACCTAAAAGTTTACAGGGTAAATGCAGGGCAGGAGGCACATATGTTAAATATGAATAAACAGGTAACTGACGGTCTGGATTTGATCTGCTCCTTTGAATGCACGGTTAGCGTAACACAGTCAAGCCTGTGTGGTCATTCACTCGTCGGTATTACGGCTCACATAAATAAAATGAGTTACACACATTCCAGCAACACAGGTCGCGTTATTCAGCACTGCGTGTGAGGTTCTGTGTCGTAATATCCACGTATAAAGCAATATAATGTAAAATATAGTGCATAATACTGGTATCTGTATGATATTATTAGATAAGGATTAAATATAGGAACGCACTGATCTTTCGACCCACCTATATATAACATAGTGAATCATTTATAAATGCTTGTGTATAAATAGAGTATTAACAGAAGAAATGTGTGTCATTTTACAGGGGGCAAGACAAGATAATCTTCACAATTTATTAAATTATAAGGTCTGAATAATATATTTCTTGGGCTTACCTTATTTTAAAAGCATGCTTATATATATATATATATATATATATATATATATATATATATATTTATTTATTTATTTGCTAGTTAGATGTTCAGTGTATAACACTACAGAATATTTAGGTCAGCTCTGTGAATGTTTGTCTAAATAAATAATTGGACTGGTTTAGATTGTAATCTCGCCATGTTCTCTGAAAACATAGGGAGATGTATGGTGCCCTAGAAGAATTTCACCTGTCATGAAGGTGACCTGCACTTGCATCTTTTCCTTTCCTCACTGGAATACTGCACTCTCCATCTGTGTTTTTGGGTCTGAGGTCTTATAAAACTGAATAATAGATGCCTCTAGTGTAATGCTGCATTTCCTAAGAGACGCATCGCTGTTACATTTTACTCTAACAGATATAGCAATAAAGCATGACTTCCGACAAATTTATTTTTAAAATTGTCAGGATCACTTGGTGTATTTACTGTTATGTGCCCAAGCAGTGTATGAATTATGCTGTGCTTTCAGTTATAATCCTTCAGTTTGGTGCTACCTTTAAGTGTCTCCTTTGTAACTGAAAGCCAAGATGGAATATCTGGAATGTGAGCTGCTATTTGCCTTTACATTCATGGCTGTGTGGCACCATTGATCAGTCAGTGTATGCATCCCTCATCTCTTTCAGGTATAATGTCCCAGCAATGGCGGCAGACTCCATGCTAAAGGATCGGATACAGGTGGCCCAGGAGCTGCTAGAGCGGGTCGAGCAGCTCTGCAGCCGGCAGACGCGGGAGATCGAGGGCCGGGCGAAGCTCTGTAGCAAGTTGCGAGCCGAGCTCAGGTTCCTGCAGAAGGTAGAAGCTGGTAAAGTGCAGATCAAGGAGTCACATCTGCATAGCACCAACCTCACCCACCTGAAGGCAATCGTGGAGTCAGCAGAGAGCCTGGAGGATATAGTGAGTGTGCTGCATGTCTTTACTTATGAGGGTGCCGCTGGCCAGAGGCAAACGTTGGTGGTAGATGTGGTGGCCAATGGTGGGCACACCTGGGTGAAGGCAATCGGACGTAAGGCAGAGGCTCTCCACAACATCTGGCAGGGTCGCGGCCAGTATGGAGACAAGAGCGTGGTGCGGCAGGGAGAGGAATTTGTGCAGGCCAGCCATCAGCAGCCTGTGCAGTACAGCAACCCACACATCATCTTCGCCTTCTACAATGGGGTATCCAGCCCCATGGCTGACCGGCTGGCTGAGATGGGCATCTCCGTGAAGGGAGACATCGTGGCTGTAAACCAAGTACCTGGAGTGGAAGGGGGTGGGGGTGAGGGTGAGGATGATGAAAATGAGGACAGAGGCAGCCCTCCCAGGGAGGAAGAGTACAAAGACTGGATTGAGGAGGATGAATATGAGGAAGATGAAGAAGCAGGTGCCTTCCATACCAGGGTGGACAGGGACACCATTGTTGCCAGTGTGGCATTCCCAACGGAGGTGAAGGTGGACGTGTGTAAGAGGGTCAACCTGGACATCACCACACTGATCACCTATGTGTCTTCCCTAAGCCATGGCAGGTGCCACTTTACCTTCAAGGAGCAAGTGCTGACAGAGCAGGCTGCCCAGGAGCGCCAAGAGAAAGTGCTTCCCAAGCTGGAGGAGTTCATGCAGGACAAGGAGCTGTTCGCCTGCCAGTCAGCTGTGCATGACTTTCAGGTCATTCTGGACACATTGGGGGGGCCTGGGGAGCGGAAGCGGGCGGAGCAGCTGCTGGCCCGCCTGCAGGTGGTGCCGGACAAGCCGTCCGAACGCACCTTGCGGCTAGTAACCAGCTCCAAGGTCAATCGTCGCTCTCTCACGATCTTTGGAACTGGAGATTCCTTGCAGGCAATCACCATGACTGCTAACAGCGGCTTCGTCCGGGCAGCTGCCAACCAGGGTGTCCGTTACAGCGTCTTCATCCACCAGCCCCGTGCCCTCACTGAGGGCAAGGAGTGGAGGGCCAGCCCAATCTAAAGAGCACCCACAAGGCCTGAACATAGGTGAAGAATAACTGGAAAATGCAGATGATGGGCTTCAGCAAAATGAGGAGGTTAAGAGAGGCTTGTGAGCTCATTCCCTCAGTGGGAGGTTGGACCTTCTGTAACACATCAACACTAAGAACACAATGAGATTAATAATGAAAGGAAACATGTGGTAGCAGAACGGAAGAATAATGTGAGTGAACACCGTTCTACTGATGTCAGCCAGGTTATGTGACCATCTCAGGGTCGTTTTGGAAATCCCAATATTATGCTGTATACAAGACTAGGGGTTAATTTTTTCCCCTTTAATGTAAATATGTTTTAGATCTCTTTAAGTCCATTATATAACTAAGGAGGTTTTTCATGTACAAAGTAAAATTTGTGGCATTGTAAGAATTACAATGCTATGCATGAGTACTTATTTTTCACACTCAATAATATCCTTTATTTTGTTTATTGGCTGCATTAAAAAGATCACCCCCACTGCCCAAATGAGCTGCCATATTGCTGAATTACAAGCAGCTACCCAGCTGAGAAAATGTACCGTCTTCTTTTCAAAGCAATTAAATAAGGTGAACAAATTTGTGAAATTGTCACAATTGCCATTTGCACAAGTGCATTCGAATGTTTCTTTTTGCATATGCTTCTTGCTTGCTTTTGAAACGTGTATGTATACGCACACAGCTGAGAGCAAAGTTTGGGGTTAGGCCATCTATCCAGCACACCTGAAGCATTTCCACATGCCCATCAGAGCTGTGACTGTTTGCTAAGGACAGGGCTCAAACTGGTGCCCTTCCACAGAGGCCTAACCTGCTGAACCACACATCATGTTGGTGGGAGAGCGTGGCCCATTGCAAAGTACATCCTACCTATGGTTATCAAACTCGTGTCTCACAAAGTTTCTGGATTTAAAGTGTGTACATACAGACCACGACCTGACTCCCCAAATGCCTTATTCATATTCGAACCTACTGGGTGTGAAGAAGCTGCATTTTGTGTTTCTATCCCCGTGACGGTAAGTCTTGCGTTCATCGGTTCATGCGCCTTCGGTATCTGCCCTTGTTATTAACTATTTGCCCATGAGGTGGAGCTATAATTGTATGCATAGTTAAAGAGTTAGGTAGTTTCTCATTAGTCAATCAGAAAATGTTTTCTTATTAAAGAAAAAAATGCATAATGACTAAAGATTACAATGTGCAGCGATAATTTAATACAGTTTAAAATACATAGTTGAACATTAATGTAACATAGCACTGAAATTTTACAGCTTGATTTAAAGGCGCCTTGATCCCCAACCTCGGCCTCAAAAAAAAAAACCTTGCCTGTTTTTTTTTGTTTGTTTTTGGTGCGGGGGATAATGTCTAGCAGCCAAAATTAACCGGATTTAGAGGTGTGTCCTTAACTGTTATGAAAGAGAAGAAGCACTTTCATGAGTTTCGTGGGCACGGCGACTGGTAGGAAAGCGTCAGCTTAAATGAAGAGCGCATCGTTACTTACGATGTCGCATACACTATATCTGTGGTTCGTGAACGTATATCTCCTGACATTGGACAAAATCTACGTCTCTGTCTTCACCAAATACCGGCGGCAGAAATATGTCCGCATGAAAGTCGTGAGCGTACACAATTAACGACAGCGTGACCTTCACCCAGTCGACACTGTATAGTCCCGGCAGCTGTTCTGGATAGGTCCCTGCTTTACTTCGGCACATGATCTTCGATATTAAATAATGGGCGGTGTTCTCTGGGGCAGCGGTTAAACTCGCTAGCGAACCGCCTTCCCAGACCACCGACGGCTCATCATAGATCAGTCACGTTCTGCACTAGATAGCGTTCGCAGTGTGGCCAGACGGAGCCCGAACCGACCCCAGATCGGCGACGCCGAGTCGCGCAGCGACGCCACGTACGAGCATACGTCACACCAGCGTCCTCGTCCCCACCCTTCCGCCATGTTGCCGGGCTGAATCCGATACCGTTCGTACAGTGAAGGGGAGCGGCTGGAGCTTCGTGCTGGGCGCCCGGGGGTCTGCCGAGGGTTGGAAGCAGCGGCTTGGAGCTCAAGAGACGCGACACGACGATATCAAATAACCTGAGGCGAACGCGGCCGCTTTCTGCTTGTTTTTTCCCGTTAACTGTCCGTCTGGCGAGTCGAGAGCAGCAGGTAGGTGTCGCCGGGGTTTTGGTTGGTCTCCGAGGGCTACCACCCGTCTCCGTGCTGGCTTAACTCTGCGAGGGGCGTCGTTGCGTCCCGGCCCGACTCACATCGCCTTCCAGGCTCATGGTCGCCTCCTCGACGCCCTGGCGGCACTGCGTGTCCGGCCGGTCTTTGCGGCGCCCTCTGCGAGCTTCGCGGGCGAGATAAGGGGCGCTGTCCATTCGCTTTGCTCTACTCTCACTCCCCGCTCGCGTTCCCCCTACTGTCACTTTACTGTCCCCTGTTATTACTGCTTTCCTTTTCATATTTGTTTTTTTTTTCAGTATGTTTGTGGCTGAAAGCGCCGGCGCTACGTGATGTGGGTTTCGTTATGTGTATAAATATGACTGTGTGTGAGAGAGAGCGCCCAGCGTTTTGTATGGGGTATGAGAGCCACGGGTTTTGATATGTTTGTACGTATGTATACATGTGTGCGCCACAGGGTGCGTGTTTGTGCGCGAGCGAGCCATAGGTTTCGTTATATATGTGCGGGCGAGGCGCGGGTTTTGTTACATGTGCCTGGCGCTCTGGCCCTGTGCGTTGTGGGTTTGCCTGTTCCTGCTCTGTGCGACTCCTTGTACGCGCTCAGTTATGGGGGATTTCCTTTGCTGCATGGATTGTAGGATCAGATGGCCTCGGTTCCCTGGGATCTGTATCGCTTCCCTCCATTTTTAGCCAAGGGGGCTTTCTAAAGTGTGTTGTAATGTGTTGTTGATTTTCCTGTTTGTTGCCTTTAACCGTTCATCCGAAAGCTGATCAATGCATTTTATGTGGGTTCAGAAACAAAACGTCTCTGTTATGGGTATGCCGCCAACTCGGGTCCATTAAAAGAGTGACACTCGGATGATAAATCCATTAAGCATCTTTTGCATTCTGGGGGTGGCACATTGGTCTCATACCTCCAGCACTGGGGGTGTGATTCACATCTCTGGTTTCATTTGCAAGCATTTCCCCCAAGTAATCTAGTATCCTCTCCTTGTTTAAAAAAATGCAGTAGGATGAATTTGTGACACTCATTTCTCCTGTGTGTGTGTGAGCATTAGTCAGCAAATAGCATAGTGCTCGAGAAAGTGTTCTCATATGCATTCTGATGAGGAGGAGCCCTTGTCTTTGTTTACTGGACCTTCCTTTCTTTTACATCTGTTGTATAGTGCTGACAAAAGTATTGCTTAATTTGCTATATTTGTTTATTTTATTGCTCAGTGCAGTCAGTAACCATAATATTTCTGATCCGAACTCAAAGCATTTTTTTTTATTTTGTAAGGTGAAATGTTAATTGCTTCATTTGTGCATGTGCCACATTACTTGCTCCATTGTGCCTCATTGATATTTTTATAAAAATAAAGGGAAGTGTGAGCTGTTTGGGGAGTGAGAGGCCTTCCTGTTGAGCTGCTCCTTCACACATGTTGACATTGATGCACTAGCTTGCCTGTGACTGGATGTGCAGGTCTATTATGAGGGTCTGGAGTTTGTATCATGTAAGGAGGTCAGTGAGGTGCAGTGTGCATTAGCGGGGCCATTTGTTATAGAGGTGTGTCTCCTCGGGTTGTTGCTGTGAGCTGGATGTGTCCTTGAAGACTGTGACTTCTGTGTTGTTCAGCTGATTTGATTGTATAATGGAGCGTATTTGTGTTCTGCAAAAATAGCCAATGCTTAGCCCCTATTCTGCTTACAGGGTTAGTTTTGGTGTTAACGATGTTATAGAATAGCCAGGTGAGTGCCAGTGCTGTTAATGTTTAACCTGAGCATCATTACCACAAGTCGGCTGCTTCATGTCCTTTGTGTTCCTAAGTATGCGTTTTGGGAGGGTTTGCTGCTGGGCATCGCTGTTAAGGCTTTACCTTTCTCACCTAATCAGTGCTGGGTCTCTGCCAAACCATATCTTATTATGTGCCTAATGTGGTAGTGTTGTACTTGTTCGTGTTATGTATGATCCCATCAGAATTTGGACCTGTGTGCACAAATGGTGATCACTTGTTTATTCTTTAATTTCAGAACCTAGCATATACTCTCAGTAAGTCAAACCTACCATTAAGGATTGCCCTGTATACCTGCATTCTGTCCTGCTCAATAATTCAACAAAGAATGGCCAATCAGCCACCCAACTTGTCTGCCCGTGTCCTGAACGACACCCCACAGCAAACCTTGTCCGTCTGTCACAGCACCTTTTATGGTCTCAAACCTTCCCTAAACTATCCTGTACTCTTCTGTTGAGGTGATGCAGTGTTGCTTTTGGCCTTGAGCTTCACAGAAACTGTTTTGTGGCCTTAACACAGTACTCCACCGATGTGTGAGTGCAGTGTTAAGCACAGCTGTGCCCCATCCCCAAGGCTCCTCTCAAGTTTCTGCCTCTGCCTGGCAGTGCCACTCCTTCTGCCTCACTGCTGGACACCCAATGCACATTAGCAGTGTGCGGTGGCTCCAGCCTACGTGTGTCTGACTGCAAAGGGCACAGGGCAGCCAGTCTGCTCCCCAGAGCCCCCTGATTGTTACCGTTCCACATTTTCAAAGCAGGGGAATGTGGCTCCCAGCTGCCCTCACTCTTTCATGGAGGATGGCCCCGGTTTGCAGCCCGGATACTCCCTGCGCACCGGGTCTCTATGCGACAGCCCGTTGCCTGGTTCAGTTTTATGGGGGTTTCGGAAATGGGTCATATAGTTCTCCATTTGCCAAAGTCCACTCTGTGTTTTCCCCGCTGTATGGCCTGATTCTGCCACAGATTCAGCATGTAACCCACACTGAATTAGCACCATTAGTTTTGTCTCGCACTGACTTTGCTAGTGACTGAATGTGAACATGTCAGGCGAATGAGCCTCTTAAGTTTGATCTTTTACACCCTATGTGAAGGGGCCACATAGGGGCATCAGGGAGCATTCAAATTCCTTGCTGGGAACAGGATGAGGGGTTTCATGTTTTTCTGGCTGTTCTGTGCTGGGTCCTCATTTACGAGCTGTGGGGTGACGATACCTTGCTGAAGCTGTGTTATCGGTGTCCTCAAACACGGCCTGTCAGCACTCTTTTTAGCAGGATCTTTAATTCGGCGTCAGCCTGACCGACACTCGTCACAGGGGCTGATCCTGCTGTTTGTCTGCTTGTGTGATGAATGTAACACATTCAGGACTATTTTAGTATAATCCCAGGTTTGAAGAATCTTCCTGAGGGGGAGTGTTCACCTTGCCATCAAGTAGTGCAGTCTAGAACATTCTGTGGGTGTTATTTGCATGGATGAAGCAGTGGTTCAGAAAGTTCAGTTCCCACACTTCAGAAAACCCAATGTTAGCTCTGCGCTCATTAATGTGCCCAGAATGCCTGATATGTTAAGGGATTCTTTATTTGTTTATTCATTAATAATACATATTGCACAGACTAGTTTCTGGGTAGTTGATTCTGTTATACGGTGTTTTTCTACCAACATCCTTGCCACTGGACGTTCATTCTGCAAGGTAGGTTCCAGGTACACAGGAGCAATCCAGTTTTGTCCTTGCTATTTCTCCATCATCCAGGCTGCTGTTTGTTGTCTTTCCCTGGGGTGATTTCAAGGGCAAGAGCGATTGGAAATATTAAAGAAGACTCGTCAGATGAGAACCAGCCATAAGCTGGGATTTGTGTGGCTCAGTGGTTTGAAGGTGAGGGCTTCTTATGCAGGTAGGTTTGGACTGGCTTATCTTTGATAGAGGTGGCTGATGATGGCCAGCTGTCCGGTTGAGAATGTTTGGATGGCGTTGCGGAGCATGTGGACCTGAACAGGACAGAAAGGAAGGATCATTCTGTCCATGTGTGTCATTGTGTTTTAGTTATTCAGCTTGTTAAATTCAAAATGCCCACTGTTAGCGTGTAAATCAGATACCAGTTTTAATTTCTTCTTAAAAGTACAGTGACTTCATCCTAAATGAGCAATATTTATGATTATAGTATAGGTCTGCTATTCATGATGAACTTCAACTGATGCTAGGGGTCTCTGAAAAGGAGAAAAATAATACCTCTGTGTAATGAAGTCTGAGCACTGAACTGTGTAATTGTATTTTATGAGCCTGTTGCTATGGGCTGTTTGTAATTCATTGTCTAATAGGGGATCAATGTTCAACAACCTGGACGTAAGTGATCTGTAAACTGAACAATGAATTCATAAGCAGGATCTCTTGACGTAGCTGATCTGGTCTGCAACATGTCAGCTCATGTGCTTTATTATCCCATGGGAACAGTCACTCTGGTGCCTCACGTGGAGGGAGTTGAACCACACAATGTTGTGCTCTGGGTGCTAGAACCTCCAGTATCTTTCTTTTTGGCCCAGACCCATTCCTGGGTTGGCCATGTTGCGTCGGTCCCCAATGCTGCCTGCCTGACACTGTGCTCAGGCGCTACCCTTGCAACTGTCGTCGGTCTGAAGCCGTCCCTTGTCTCTCCCTTGGGTCTGTCTGGTGACCTCAGCATAGACGCGAGTTGCTGTCAGTGCCTTATTGTGATCCCACCTTCTCTTTGAGCTCAGGCCTGGTCAGTGTTTACTGGGACCACGAGCCCTTACTGTGACTCATGCTCCTCCTTGTGGGATGTGACTCCCGCTGTGGGACCAGCAGCTGTTGTGATTTGTTTTCACTGGTACCATTGCTAAGCTCTTGTATGATCTTCCACTTTTCTTAGTCTTTTTAGGGTGTCATAGGAACATGGAGGCTTGCTTTAAAGCAGCTTATTTAGCACCTTTCCCTGTAAGACAAAGTGGGGGGGTGCCCTCATGCTCGACAGATCCCCCAAAACTGGCAGTGCACAGTCAGGGTAGTGCTACTCTGAGTGACCCGGTCATGGTGTGGACCGATGTCATGCTTGGACGGGCCCATCAGCTGTGTGAGTTGGAATATGACTCCACATTTTCCCATTTTACTGACGTGTGACAGTGGCGTGTGGGCGTAGCATGGCAGATTATCCAGGCGTGCCGTGCAGTGGGAGATGCGCCGTTGGGTGTGATGGAGAGCCTGCATTGGTTGGATTGGGTGTAGGAGACTGTATCAAGTCTGCAGGGTACCATTCTCTCTGAATTCACTCCTTCCTACCCTGTAGTGGAAGACGGGGGCCTTTAGGTTTATGTGTTTATGGTGGCGTCACATAATGATGCCCAGAATGCAACTTCAACACTCATGTTGGTCCCTCCCCAGGCCTCTTGCTGCTAGGCTTCGTGCTAAAAGGGTGGGGGGCCTCAGGCCACTCATTTAATGGTACTTGCACCAGCCCAGGATCAGGAAAAGCAGTTACATCGCCGAATTGTAAGCAAGCCACTCAGGATCTTTGCCTTCTCCAAGTGTCTGCCGCAAGAGAGATCTGAAACCTAATGAGCAGAGTGTGTGGATGCTGTTTTGGGGATGATGGAACAGGAAGCGCGAACAGGAAGTCTGACCTTTAGTGCTGCATGTTGGAGAAAGGAGCACAAATAAATGTGCCAAGGAACATCCTGGAATTCCAGAAGGTTCTGTTTCTGCTTATCTGATCATTCCGGGGCGGGACGGATGTACAGCACGTAAGCTGTGGTTTAGGCTTGGGGAGAGTACGGTTCTTTCTCTGGTGTGGTTCCGTGTTTAAAATGGGAGACGGCCAAACCCTCTGGCGGAATGAGGCGGGTCACCGTGTCCAGCTGATGTAATGGAGCCATGGGAGCGCGCTCCAGGGGAACAGAGGGGTCTGTGTGTGACCCTCGGGAATGGGGGGGATCGGCAGAAAGCCAAAGGATCCAGAGTGAGTGCGCGGAGACTAGTCTTTTGTTCAGCATTGAAGCACCTTGTAAGTGAAGGTTAGGAGATGCAGTGGCCAGCAGAGATTCCATCATCTGCACAGAACGACAGGGCCGTTAGTATCTCGCCATGGCAAACACTGCCTATTCTGGAAGCTTCCAGAAAGCAGCCGGACGAAAGTCCCGCAGCCCAGCTTCCCCCTCAAGGTCAGTGCACTCTTGTCACAAGCATGTTGTGAAGGCCAGACCATGAAGTGCATGCCCGTCACAGGCACTGGTAGAAGTGAAGCTGGTTTGATGGTGCAGAGAATTGACAGGTCAGCAGTTTCCAGAGAGGAGATTTCCACCTCGGTGAAGTGTTGGAGAACCTTGCTGACAGACATGTGAGTGGATGCGGCGTGTATGTTAAAGGCGGGACTTTAGGCTGGCTGCTGGGCTCTGATTGGCTCCTGAGAAGTCTTGAGTTAACACTGACCTTGGCATGTCTGGTGCCCCGTCTCACGCCCCCGGTTTCCATAGTGATGAATGAAGAAGTGGGCTTGCATTCTTGTTTGGCTCCCCCAGGGAGAAGTAGTAAGGCTGCTGGAATCATTCCAGCAGTTTTGTGTGCCGTCTTAAAATATTTATTATTACTCATTCATAGCGCTACTGGCTGGCCTTCTTAAATAAGCACATTCACGTTCATCTTCTGAGATGAGTGTGGGTTCTGCCTTTTCTCACAGCTTTAGAGGTGCTAAGGCCCTTGCCGTATGACCCCAAACTGATCTCAGGACAGCTCTGTATTGCTGGGGGCCCTTGAGACCAGGCTCATCAGTCTGCACAGCTGTACAAAGGTGTCCCCTATGGAATGAGGGTGACTTTAGAGGTTTGATGCAGGACACAGTGCTAAGTATGAGTAGTGGACATGGTGTTGTAAGCAGGAGGGGCGTGGCCAAACCCAGCATATGCTTTAAACTGGGAGTCCAAGTTAAGTCTGTCACCGTTACTGATGGATGTCTTTTTTCTTTCTTTCTTTTCAGGGAGAATCTGTCTTCTGACCCCTGACTGGTGGGATCCTGCACTCCATCACTGCCCTCTGCTCCTCTCTCCATCCCTCTCTCCTTTTCTCTCTCTCTCTCTCTCTCTCTCTCTCTCTCTCTCTCTCTCTCTCTGCCCGTGTACAGCCATGGCCGCCAACAAGCCAAAGGGACAGAACTCGCTGGCCCTGCACAAGGTCATCATGGTGGGCAGTGGCGGCGTGGGCAAGTCCGCGCTCACCCTGCAGTTCATGTATGACGAGGTGAGCAGCCTCCCTGTCGCTCGTGTGCCCCGGGCTCTGAATCATTTTCTGTCAAGGGGCCTCTCACCCTAGAGGTTCTCAGACGTGTGGTATCGTTGGCCTTTTCAGTTTGTGGAGGACTATGAGCCAACCAAAGCCGACAGCTACAGGAAGAAGGTGGTCCTCGACGGTGAGGAGGTCCAGATCGACATCTTGGACACGGCAGGGCAGGAAGACTACGCCGCCATCCGGGACAACTACTTCCGCAGCGGAGAGGGATTCCTCTGTGTGTTCTCCATCACGGAGCTGGAGTCCTTCACCGCCACCGCGGATTTCAGGTGGGACCTAGAAGAGAGATGGGGTTCAGCAGAGGACAGAAACTAAACACTGGGCAGGGGAATGTAACCTCTTCCCGCAGCTGACCGGGGAAGTTACCTGCTTCTGTACAGGCACATGTGGGTGTTTAGGATGGCAGGAAACAAGTCGCAGAGTGCTAGCATACCTGTACTCCACAGAGAGCAGATCCTGCGGGTGAAGGAGGACGAGAACGTGCCCTTCCTGCTGGTCGGGAACAAGTCTGACCTGGAGGACCGTCGGCAGGTGGGCGTGGAGGAAGCGAAGGCGCGTGCCGAGCAGTGGGGAGTCAGTTACGTGGAGACTTCTGCCAAAACCCGCGCCAATGTGGACAAGGTGGGTCTGGATGGGGGAAAGTGGTTCATTGTGCCGTCCATCTGTCTGTCCATCCATCCTCCACACCCTGGGACCTGCAGATAACAGGAACACTCTTTAAGCCCAAGTTCAGTAACCTATATTTCAATAGTAATAACTCAGTGCAGGCTAACCATTCAATTTCAGACTTGCAACCCCATGAATGAAAACCTTTCATTTATGTTTCATGGTTATTGTTCTTTGTTCTGTCTGATGTTATTCATCTGTGCTCTGTGTCACACACATTATAACACCCAGAAAAAAAATCTGGCACGCTTGACATTCCTGGCAAATAGTGTTTCTGAGTCTGATTTCAGTATTAGCATGAATGCTATCCGTAACCCTGACCTGTGACATTCTCGTTAGCGGCATCACAAGTCAATCTTGTCATCCGCAGGTGTTCTTTGACCTGATGCGTGAGATTCGGGCAAGAAAGATGGAGGACAGCAAGGAGAAAAATGGAAAAAAGAAGAGAAAAAGCCTGGCCAATCGGATTCGAGAGCGATGCTGCATTTTATAATGGCTGCTGGCCTCTTCCACAGCCCTCTGTTAACGACTCCTCCTCTTTGTGTTGGTTCCCCTCGGCTCCCTCTGAACAGCTCAGGCTGTGAGAGGTCGTTTCCTCTTGTGTCTCTGGGATGGGGGTAAGTTTGGGAGCGAGAGATGCGTAGCGCTTTAGGAGCTAAGGGGGGGTGGTGAACAGCTGGATGGGGTAGATAGTGAAAGGACTATTCTCGCTGTATAACTTGTATATATCTGGTGCCATAAGCACAGTGATCACAGCAGTTCTGTTTTTTTTTTTTTTTTTTTTTTTTAAATCATTTAGAGCAGCCCTTATTCCCCTGTGGAGAGTTTTATATACATGCTTAAAGCTACAGGCGGCCCACCGGTCAGGCTCCGCTTCATGTTGCTGGTGCATCGCGTCCCTCTTAGTTCCACTACATTTCCCATGAGGCCTAGCGACAGGACTCCTGAACTGGGGCTCACGAGGCCAGCATGGCGAGAGGCGGAGGTGAAAACCGTCCTCCCAGCTCGGAGGCCGGCTACCTGCCTGCCACCGCTGCGTTTCTGAGCCCTGCCGTGCACTGTGAGCGTGTCTGACCTGAGGGAAGCTACTGCAAGCTCCTGGAATTAGTCATGTGACCTGCTACGCCCGGCGGTGGGAGGCGGCTGTGCTGTATCACCTGGTTTCCTTCACAGCTGCTGTGTTTCGTCGCATGTGGGTACATATAAGTGCTCCGGTCCAGTCCGGTCTGGTTCCGCGTCTGTCCCGTTTGCCTTCATGTTAAACGGCACCTTCCTGCCTCTTGCCATGTTGGGCTAGAGTGCAGGAATCGGGGCCTGGCCGTAAGCACAACTGCTGGGTGGTGAGAGGGGAAGGAGGTCACCTACCTAGGCCACCTGTGCTCTGTGCTTGTTAAGCGTGTGTCACTAATAGTCTTTTTCTGTATGGTTAGCTAATGACACTCAGTAATGTTTAATCTGAAATGTAGTGACGGCACCCCTGTGCTTGTGGGTGGGTGCGTAGCTCTGTAAGTATGCTTTGCCTTATTGACATCTCCGTTCTTTAGCAGATGCATTGCGTGGCACTTGCTGCAAGCATCGCACTTGTCATTTCATTCACAATGTCATTTCAGAAATGAATGCCATTATTTAAAGATTGCGCTTGTTTTACCAGTCTTTTCTGTACCTACTGGTGGATTACTTTCCAAAGGACATTTCATAACCCCCAAAACAAGTTCATAGGAAGACAGTGCAGACAGTGGGACCAATATGTTGAATTGGAAACCTGGGTGAATCTCTGCACTGTGGCCCCTGACTTCCTGAAGCATTTTAAGGGGCTGGAGCTCTGTGTTCCATGTGAGCTAATGATGACAAAGGGCTGGGGATTCCTCCTGCTACTTTCAGCTCAGCGTTTCTTGTGCATCATTTTCTCCTGTGGCCTGATTTTGAACGGAGTCTGCTTGGTCCTGCTTCAGACTGGATGAACACGTTCTCAGCAGCACTAAATGCCCTGTTCCACTCTGTGAAAACCAGTGCGATGCAGCACGGAGGATGGCGTCTCCCAGGTAACCGAAACCCATAACACTAACTAGCGTGCCTCCATGGTGCATTCCTGCTCGTGCTGAAACCATCTAAGCAAATATGTGCTGATGTTCTGTGTTTGTGCTTTGTTGGAGGGGATTGGGGGCATCACAGGTTAGATGAGATTTTGTTTTGTGCCCATTCCCCCCTTCCTGTAAGATTGCTTCATTCACATGCATCCCTTACTGAATGTCATCCAGCGAGGGGAGGGGGGAGAAATGTGTACAGCTTTTTCTGGAATCTGGACATTTCAAGTGAGGAAATGTTTTTGAAGACTATTCTGAATGCCCTTTTCTAGTAGCTCGTTAAGTCTGTTGTATTGCTCTGTTTTGGGAATGGTTTAGAAAACGGGCTTTAAAGAAGAGGGGGGATTTCAGCATTAACAAATAGTATGGATGCTATGTGTACGTCTCACTGAATCTCCACTGTTTCCCACTCTCTCTAAACTGTTGTGACGATGCTTTAGCCCTGCTTATTTTGTTATAAGTACCGTGTAACCAGGGATCCTTAACTGAACCACTAACATCATTTTCTGTTTGTGGCACGTGGGTGCAGAGGTGTGATGATGCTGCAGGGAAGGGCTGATGCTCCTCCCGCCCACGCCTTTTTGCTGTACTTTGAGCCATTAAGAGAGCTTAAAAATGTGAAGATGACATGAATAAAGAAATAAACTACCATTTTATAACTTGTACCCTGCAGTCTGTTTGTTTGGCGGTGTCCCTTTTGTAAATTCTGAGAACAAGGAGCATGATGACTGTCACACCCACTTTCCAAATGGCACCTCGGCATGTTCTTCATTCTCTCTGGAAACTCTGCTCGCGCAGCCTTTAGTGGCTGGTCACTGATGGCCCCCAGCTTGTCTTGCTGCCTCAAAATTCATTCTTTCAAATCAGTCATTAAAGCTACTGGTCCTGCATTTAAAGACATTCTCTCATTTTAAGCCCCCTGCTGTGGCTTCAGGCCACCCCTGAAGACAGTAAGTGTGTATGAAGTCACATCTATAAAAAACAGCCATGCTGCTACCCCCTCCCATAATTTCAAATCGCCATACATCTCTAACCTGTTTCTCCCAACGACGTAAAATCTCACGTCCAACCGAGTTAATCCCCACATGAGGCTGGGAAGAACACAAATTGGAAAGCCCAGGAGAAATGAAAAGAAATGCCAAATTTAGGCATTATGTTTCTCTAAGTGGTCTTACACGTGATTTCTTCTGTATATTAATGTGGAGCATAGGAATACGTGGTGTGTTTATGAATGGTAAATATTCTTACCAGCTGCCGTTTTTTTAAGGAGAATTAATGCTCATATGTGGAAGACTGAAGAGCAGTATGAATGTTATACTATATGACAGTCACCAAAATAATAAAATGCAGGAAATCTCTAATCACATTTAGTAGAGCTAAATCTGATTATATTAGTGTTGCTAATTCCTTTTTAGTTTAGAAACATTAAAAAATAAGGTAAATTCATTGAGAGAAAATCTGCTCTTTCGAAAAATCCAATATATCTCTTTCTGACTAGAGATGTTTTAACTTTTTACATTTTCTTACCTTGAGCTCCTTAGCGATTGCTAAATTTACAAGCCAGTAATCAGTTTTTGATCTAAAGGGTTTATTAGATATTTTTCCTTCAGAAAACGGTAACGGTCCCTTAATCGTCAGATCTAAATTGACTGCCAGCCTGTCTGACCCGGTCGAATGGCAAACCGGAAGTGCCCTTTCGACCCATTGCACCGGAAGTTCCCCACTTTTCCGTCTAACTGGAAGTTCCGGCTTGCTCTACGTGAAGCCGCCATGTCTGTCTCGGTGCTGCTTTCAATAATTTATCACACAGCGGCGTCTGAGCTTCCCGGTTCAGGGGAGGTTTAGTTTTACAAGCCGAACGGCAGAACCAGTCCGACGGCCGCTGGTGGGGCCGCACAGGAAGACGGTGTCTCAGCCCGAACCGGGCTGTCTTTGGCCGTGACGCTTCCGGAGCCCCCCGGACACGGTCGGCGTCTCCGACCGCCTGTCTGGCGTGTGTAGCGAAGTCTGCGGCCGGGCAGGAGCGTGCAGCGGCGCCCGAACACCGTGGGAGTCCCGGCAGGTTCTGTGGATCTGTGCCCAGCTAGCGGGGGCAAATCAGGGTTAGCCGGTGGGCCACTTCCGTGTTACCGAGGCGGGATGGCTGCCGACATCAACAACCTCCCCAAGCGGGGCGTGAGTGACCCATTGCCCCGCCAGTAGAAGCCCGCCTCCCCGGCCAGCTCAAGGGCCACGTTCACTGCGTTCAAAGGGCGGCCGGCTTGCCCCGGGAGCTGCCGACTTCCAGTACCCAGAGAGATCGCCGCGCATCGCGACATGGGCAGGCTTGGAGCCGTGCAGCCGAACCGGTGCCCCGCCACCCCTACGCCCCTCCTGTGAGTGTGATCGCACAGCGGATCTCCGTCGCCTTCGCTGAGGGTGTCCGGGGGCCTTTCGTGCCCCCCGGAATCGTTTAATAGGCGGCGGGTCTCCGATGCCGCCGCTTCGCCTTTGTAGCACCGGGACATCAGGCGTAGCGGTCGAGTTAGTGTGCTAGGAGTGAAGTGTGGCTCCCGGCCCGTAAATGCCCAGCTCGGAGTCGGTCCAGGAGTGCCGGGGGCGCGGTACCCCGGAACGGAGGAACCCCTGGCTGGACAGGCGGGATGATGTGCCCAGCGGGCGACGCAGGGATAAGAGGCGGCCGTCCTCGGGTCGACGGAAGAAGCACCGGCGGCCCAGAGAGCGGCGGGCGCAGCCAGAAGAGCCGAGCGGCGGCAGGGGGGGCGTGTTGGACCGAGACGGTGACCTCAGGACCCTGGTGGAATACGACGACATCAGCTCCCAGTCCGAGGGCTTTTCTGGCAGTCCGTCTCCTCGAGCCGAACCGCAGCGCCAGCGATTCCCGCACCAGCGACAGGACGATGCCACAGCATCGGCCGGGATGTCCACCCCTGCCAGGAAGCGGCCGCGGAAAGACGCTCAGCGGCGCTCGGCGGAGACCAGCGGACTGCAGTGGGAGGAGAAGAGGAACGACTGTCGGGAAAGGGAGCCCCGCGGCGGCAGGGACGGGGGAAAGAAGTCCACGCCGACTCCGGTGACTGCAGAGAAGAACGAGCCGAAGCAGCATCGGACCAGGGCCGAGAGGGAGAGGGAGCCGCCTTCAGCTTACAGGGAGACCCCGAAAGCTTACCGCGACCGTGAGGAGCCAGAGGCGTACAGGCGGAGCCCGGGCTTCAGCGAGGACAGTCCGTACGGGGCTCCTTACTCCCAAACTTACGCGTACCAGTCACCGCTGCACGGCTACAACCAGCTGTTACCCAGGCGGAGCCCCGGCTACGGGAGCCGGCGGCACTCTCCCAGCCCCACCTACTACGGCCGCGACGTGGAGCTGTACGGCGCATACGTATCCAAGTCGCCCGGCTCGTACTCGGCGACCAAGCGGCAGAGGTCCCCGCTGAGCCCCTACGGCCGACAGAGGTCGCCGAGCTTCGGTCGGAGCAGCCCCTACGAGCAAGGGGAGATCGGCTTCAGTCCGTACGGCGGCCGGCGGCGCTCTAGGAGCCCCTTCGGGAAGTCGTTCAGCCCCAGCCCTGATACAAGGTAATACCGACGACTGTTTAACCATGCTGCGGATTGTGGTCCCTAATCGTGGTTAGTGACTGTTTAACCGATCAGCAATCACTAATTGGGCTCAGTGACACAGTAGATGGATAAACTGTATGGCCAAATGATCTGAGTGTTTAAGCATCAGACGTGACCCATTTAGGAAGCTGCTCTGAAAGGGTGTTTTAATTGAGACACTCAACCCTTGGTCATTGTGTCCAGGACAGTAAATGGCCCTTAATTAAAGTAGAAATGGTGGTGTGGTTGCCTTGTGTCGTTATCACGTTGTGATGTTAGATTAGACTGAGTGGAGGAATCTGCTCGAGATATCTGTAATAACATCCATCTTAGCACTGACCTAAGTGTTCTTCTGTAGCCTCTCTGTCTTGTGTCGTGTTTTTCCCCAGTCGGATAGCCTGACTTCACATTACCCTCTAACCTAGGGGTGTCAAACGACAGTCCTGGAGGGCCAGAGCCCTGCACATTTTTGGGTTTCCCTTCGTTTAACACCTGATTCAACTCCTTGCGCTAATTATCACACAGCTCTTGAGCTGAATCATTTGTGGTGGAACAGGGAAAGAACTAAGCTACACAGGGCTCTGGTCCTCCAGGACTGCAGTTTGACACCCCTGCTGTAACCCTTTTGTTAGATTCCCATGCTGCCCTGACTCTGACGTGGCCCCTCTCTCTCCCTGCTGTCCCTTACCGCCCTGATTCTGATGTGGCACTTCTCTCTCCCTCCCTCTGCTCTGTCCCCCACAGGAGAGGGAAGTCACCGCCCAGCCGCAGCCCGTACCCAACCTCACGGCCATCCCGCTCACACAGCCGGCACCGTCACTCTCGTTCACGGAGCCGCCCCTCCAGCCTGTCGCCCAACACGCTTACCTTCAAGAGCAGCCTGGCTGCTGAACTCAGCAAGCAGAAGAAAGCCAAGGCCAGCCAGCCCAAGGGACCTGGGGACACACCCATTCCCGTTAAGGGCCCCGCCCTACCTTCCACCCCCGCCCCCCAGGCTTGCCCTGGCTCCAAAAGAGCCCGCCCTCCTTCCCCACCCCCTGACAAGGGCCCAAAGACCCCAGTGTCTGCCTGTCCTCAGTCTCCAACTGACGGGAACCCCAAGAAGACGACACTTCCCCCAACGCCCAGCAAAGAAAGCAAGGAGAAGGAGGAGCCCCCAGCAACAATGCCGGCAGCCCGGGAGAAGAGGAGAGGAGCCAAGGAAAAGGAGCAGGGAGCACCCCCTGTTGCCTCGACACTGCCATTGCTCCCTTTACCCCCAGCCTTGCTGGAGCATTTGGAGGGAGTAGACAGGTGAGTGAGGAGAACAGGCCCAAAGTCCCCCCAGGTCAGGGTCACATATGTATGGTAGGGGCGGTGGGGTCAGGTGAGAGTCACATACAAATAAACTGAGCTCGTCTTCTGTTCCTGGTGACAGGGAGGAAGTCATTGATTCTGCGATCAGGAAGGTCGCATATGGTGGTGATTCCTACCCCAGTATGGAAGGTGTAATGAGTTTTTTTGCCACGTGCCACCATGTTTGTTTCCCAGCTTGAAGGACTGCCTGCCCCCTCGACCAGTTAAGAAGAAGCAGGACAGCAAGCCCCCCCAGCTCCTGGCCGACCTCCCCCTCCCACCCGAGCTGCCTGGTGCCGAGTCCAGCTCCCCGGATGACACGAAGAACACGGCATCGCACCACCGGCCCAGGTGACCTGGTTTCTGCCCGACGCGGGGTGTAAGCAGGGCCCAGGTCACACGTGATATCCACAGGCTTTGAGGTGGCCCCCTGGGGCCTTTTGGGGATTAAGCAGTCCCGCCTCCCACCCTAAACTTGTCCCTGTCCCTGTAGGATCTGTGGCCCCCGCTGTGGTGAGATCAAGGAGACGGAGATCGCCTGGGGCAAGCGCTGTGTGGACAAGTTCGAGATCATCGGGATCACGGGAGAGGGCACCTATGGACAGGTATACAAAGCCAAGGACAAGGACACAGGTGAGAGCAGCGACTCCTACTGACCATCCAGAAGCGAGATGCTGCCTCAGTACTACTGGGGGTCCCGCCTGTGACTCAATTCTTATGCTAATGCCAC